ATTTTGAAGCACTTAATTGAAGAGTAAATGCTACAAAACTGGAGCTGTTGCTATGACAACAAGTAGCCAGTACCTGCTTCTGGTAAGCCACTGCCAGGAAGGTAATAATAATAATTTACACAAACGCATTGTGGTCTCCCATGAAGAATAAATGTTTCCAAACTTTATAGATTTTGTGATGACAATCACATTTTTTTCTCTTGAGACAGAAACCTACATTCTTTTTTTCCTCCATAGTCCAGTTCTGAACAGTCAACTGTAATAAGATCCCCTACTTATGCTCCATTATTGGTCTAATATGGTGGTAATTTGAAGGGCACCTCATTTGTCAGCCTAAGGCAAAAGTTTCTGGAGGCTGCAATTCTACACCCCAATCAGAGATGTGTGTATGCTGGCAAATTTCATTGCTAGTGGTGTATGTTTTAGAGAGAGACTGAAGAAAAAAAATATACAAGACAAAACTGTTCAGTTTAGCCATCTCTTAAACCACCCATAACTTTCTACAGCTCCCGGTATGATCCATTCCATAGACCTGTCTCAGATCTGTCTCTGTTTATAGCAGGTATTGAAGTCTAGTACAGCCTGAGAAGACACGGATTTTACAGCATGGCTAGGGTCAAGAGTTCCATAACTCCACAGGTGATATTCTTTGTTATTCAAAATCTTGTTAACCCACTGTCAATTTACCAAATGTCACATATCTCCCATGAGGTCTAACTGAATTTCTGAGCTTGCCGAGCTCTTATGTTCCACATAAGAGTAGCTTAAGTCTTGCAATGCTACACAAGAGATTATGCAACTGTAACCTGAACTGAAGTTACTGCCCTTCCAACCTTGTAAGTTCCAGAGGGAAGTATCAGAGCTGAGAGTACTGGCCAAAGCAGGTCTTGAAGCATGTCCGCAGGGTCCTCCAACACTGAGAGAACACCTCAAAGTCTGGTCTGCCATTGAACTGAATAACCGAAAGGTTTGGGCATCTCCTCAGATATTTGGATAAGTAGGATGCATTGTGTTCTCAAACCTCTATAAAAATGGGTTCAAACAATTACCATGTTTTTCTTTACCCTGTGCAGACATACAGTGGGACTAGTTAGTCTCACAATGCATATTCAATCATTTATTCTTTTGATATGCAATGCTGCTAATAAACATCGGTCCTACGTTTTGGATGCCCCTACATAATAAACTGCACACTCAACACAACACACGATAAAACTACTCAAATATCATACTAATCAGCTGCCATGCAACTTAAACATTGTATAACTACTGCCATAACAATAAAGGCACCTGTTATTGCTCAACAAACCGCCATCAGAAAACAGGCTAAAAATATGAGCTCTGATGAGTCAAGGGAAGAGGCAATTTCCAGAGTCATGAAGAATGCCATAATGGCAGCTCCTTTCCATTTATAACATGGGGGGTCAAGTTCAAGCATCTTCAATGAGTGAAACTGTGACAGTACACGTCTGTCATAGTCAAAGCAAATTATTAAGATGGAAGTTAATGCTGGTGAAATGTACCTGACTGGCAGTCTTGGAGGCTCAGACGCTGTATTTATTTACAGAGCAGATATAGCACAGGCAACAACGGAACAAGATGCCCCACTCCGTCACCCTAGGGTGCTTCAACCTGGACAAGCAGGGAGCATCTCTGGAAGAGAGAGGGTAGTTCACTTGCCATGCCCATACATTCTTTGGCCTCTCACTTGAGAGTGCGATATCTTATGTCAGTAAGGGCCAGATTTCTAAACATATTTAGTTGTCCATAGAAGCAGATAGGGGCCTAGTGGAATTTTTGAAAGTGCCTAGGTGCCTAAATACCTTTAAAAATCTGGCCCTAAGTGCCTATTATTATTATTATTAGCGATGTGGACATTTATTGGGCACTGGACGGAGACCATCACATTTATTTCATATTGGACAACAAACATCCACAGCTAGTGGTGTGTGTTAGTCCTTAACTGCAGTATTTAGGCTAGGTTGAACTACTGCCCTCGAGAGAAAAGGCCCTATATCACATTACCAATCCCTTAAGTCCCCCAGCCACTGCAAAGCAAACACTTGACTTTTATGGTTGGATTCAGTTTCAAGTCTGTTTTCTTTCCAGTGTTTTGTTCTAGTTATAAAAGTGGTTTTCAGTGTCATCTTAGAAACATGGCACATTTTTATTAGCGATTGTTGTCCCTAGAGATGGCCAATATCATCCTTGTAAAATATTATAAGATTAGATTTAAATGATAAAACCATCAAGGCAGGAACACTGTTAGCAAAGGGACCTGCACATCTAGAGAGAGTGAGAATATTCATACTAGGAAGCAGGAGCAGATCAGACCTCTTCCCTTTAACCAAACCTTTTCAAGGGCAGATTAAAAAAAGTCGCTTGAAGCAGGCTTCCATTGGCTCTCTCCAAAATAACCTCCAAGCTCCCTCGCTCTTTGGAACACAACCCCTTTTCAGTTTCCTCATGCATATGACTTCCGGTTCCTTCCTTCCATGTGGCTGCCACTTCCCCTGAGACATCTTCCATTCTTCTCTCCAACAGCCTCTTGGCTTGCTCCCTCTCTCTAGTTCGCTTGCTTGCCTTCCCACAATTTCTCAACTGTCACCGTGCTCCACTGCAGTATTACTGGGATCTTTAAAGATTCTTGCTTTTTAAAATACCTATTGTAGCAACCACAAGCATACTCATGCTGCACACTGCATTTAAAAGGTATTCAGCATACTCCTATTGCACATAGACTAGTATATGTATATATATGTCAGGTGGAAGCATCTTAATCAGATCACATTGCATTGAAATCCCATTGTAGGCATTACTAATCACACACACTATTATCTTAAAATAATGATATGGTCTCAAACAATATGAATATATACATATGCTGTAAAACTAATCTGTTTAGCTGAATAAATTATATACACACCAAAATTAGCAACTGCATTTGGGAAAAAATGATTATTCAAAGTCTATGGAAATCAGTTCTTGACTGTGTGGCTTATCTGACAACTGACAGCTATTACCACTTGAATGACACATATCCCAGAAGTAATATACTGAACGCAGAATTACTGAGGGCATCATAATAGCACCAGCCAATGCTAATGAATCAATGCAGTGATATCACCCATGGAAATAAAAAAGGCAGCATTTCCAAGTGTTATATACAAACCCTCACATATATAGATAGCTAAATGTGATATTGTAAGGATTTCAGGGGTAACTATGGCAGGTCAGAGAGAAATAAAAAGGAAAGAGTGAACTAACAGAGGTAAGTCACAAATACTGTGACTTTAAATCAATGTAGCAGTCATTACAGAGTTATGAAGTACAGCATTTGACTCTAAAGCAAGACTGGATATGAGAGTTTCTAGAGCCTTTTGTAAAAGCTACATATAGCTTCCAACCATAACAAAATCTTACTGTGTTAATGTTACCAAACAGTGTACACAAGGGAGTGATAGCCACAACAAGATGCTGTGTTGGCATACAGCAGTTTGGACATGCTGGTTCATGCTTCAGAGGTTGTGATTTAGTGAAACAACCACTAAGACACTGAAGATCTTGTCTGATGGTAAAACCACAATTTTATAGAAACCAGATTTCTGAAAAAAGACAAGAGGAGCTTGGGATTATTGTTCATTGAGGATGTTAGCAGATAGATAGGCAGAGAGAAGAACCACCAATATGACATAGGTATTGGATAGAGAGAATAAATGCTTGTTTACACTGTACATTAGTCTGCACTAGGAGGGTGTCATGTGCTACTTGTATTGTGTGGATCCTGCTGGCACTCACTAAAAGTTATGTAATGTGCATTAATGTGGTATGATTTGAAACAGGAGTAAATTAACACACACTAGGGAACCGTTAGTGAACCCCACCAAGACCCACACCAGCCAGCTAATGTGCAGGAGGCTAGAGTGCATTGGAATTCACACCCTTGTACTAATACACTGCATAGACAAGCCCTAAGCAACACAGCCAGCAGAAACAGACTTAGGGCCCAATCCTGCAGTCTGATGATCAGCAAAACCCTCCTATGGAAGTCAACGGGAGTTTTGCTCCTGCTGGGATTGTGGGATCTGGCCCTTAGGCTAGGTCTACACTACGGGGGGGGGGGGGGGGGGGGGGG